ACATTGTTCAGTCTTTTGCATAAAACTGATGAAGGTTTATTTACTCAAATAACAACTTTCTTAATCACATATTCACAAATCTAAATGTATCATTAGTTTATTATGCGATACGAAGTACCTTTGTGTAATGGATTCAATTCACTTCACTTACTCCTGTTACTCCCAATAGAGCATAGGCTAACGACCAGCATTCATCTAAACCAATATGTACTGGGCGTTCCTATCTGGTTCCAATTTTCGCTTATTCTTTTCATGTCTGTCTCCATTTCTCGGCGTAATATGTTGTTTGGTCTTCCTCTTCTCCTTTCGCCTTGAGGATTCCATGTGAGGGCTTGTCTTGTGACGCAGTTGAGTGCTTTCCTCAATGTGTGTCCTATTCACTTCCAGCGCTTCTTCCTGATTTCTTCCTCCGCTGGGATCTGGTTTGTTCCCTTCCCACAGTAAGTTGTCTCTGATAGTGTCTGGTCAACGGATCCGAAGTATTTTGCGTAGAGAACTGTTAATAAACACTTGTATCTTCTGGATGATTTTGTGTATCTGAAAACATCGATAACACCATATGGAATACATTTAACGGGCTACACCGCAAAGTGGTGCATGGAGAACAGTTGACAGACACATTCGAAGTGTGGAACATTGTCCGACAAGGCTGCTTAAACTTCTCTTTCCTCTTCAGGTGGTTGACTGGATTGTGAAGACCTCAACATATCAGAAGAAGCATGGAATACAATGAAAAGCTTGCATGCAATTCCAAATGACATAGTTGTTCCGTCCCATAAACACTAATGAATGCAAATCAAACAGTGAAGCAACAGCATCTGAAGTAATAGGCTTCAAAATACACAAAGAAAAAGCGAGACTTTGGACTGCAACGCAACGAGCATCGACTCAATCACACTTGATGTAAAAGTTCTGGAACAGGTGGAGAGTTTCACGTTCCTGGAAAGCATTACAGATAAAAAAAAAGGGAGGATCTGATGCAGACGTAAAAGCACAGATTGGAGAAGCAACGGGGCATTCCTACAATTGAAGGACATATGAGATTCAAAACAGCTTTCAACCAATATCAAAATCAGAATCTTCAATATGAACCTCAACACAGTTCTACTGTAAAAAGCTGAAAATTGGAGGACTACCACAACAATCATCAAAATAGTACGAGTATTTCTAAACAATTGTCTACGTAAGACAATGGATGTACGTTGATACCATTAGAAACAGCCTACTGTAGAAGAGAACAAACCATGACGTTGGAAGTGTATAGGAAACACATCGAGGAAATCACTAAACTGCATCACGAAGCAAGTGTTAACCTGAACTTCTGAAGGGAATCGTGAAAGTGGAAATCCAAAGAACACACTGCGTCTGGAATTGAAAGCAGACATGAAAAGGATGAATAGGAACTAGAAAGAACTGAAAAGGACTGTCTAAGACAGATTTAGATGGATGGATGGTTTATGCTTGTTTATGAGGGGTAACAGGCATATATAAGTAAGCAATTCTATATGTCATTTTAATTGAGCTTAACTAGAAATCTATAGGTTAAATAGTCGGTCGACACGGTGGAGAGTTTCCTATTCAACATTTCGACTAGTGTTTCCTGGTAGTCTGGAATTAGATCATATTATTCTGTTTTTGAAATGACCATCATTTGTCATTCAATCAGTTATACACTATAATTTTACATATTACATCACAGAACCATTTTAGTGAGATCCATCGTAAAGTAGGAAGCACTGAACAGATATTATATCCTAGTATGGCCAGACTGAGTAGTGTGCATTCATGACCTTCACAGTGATTGTACTTATGACCTGGAACTTAGGAAGTATTCAAAAGATGTTTTTATCCTAGTATAAGAATCCTCAGCATCCATCCAATGCTTCCAGGTTTTCGATCGTCGTCTAACATTGATCCATTCATGATATCAACTTATACAATGAATCAAAAAGGTCAAGTTCATTGATCAAAATGCATCATTCAAACAATAACAACGGGACCTTAAATCTATTTGTAAACATGTATAAAGTTAATGTCATTCAAATGGTAGTTGTCAACTAACGTATCGTTTATTCACAATGAAGATTACATGGTGTTTGTTTTAAAACTATAGTTAGTTTCACTTTGTAAAGGAACGTTTGTTCAATTTTCTATTAAATGTTTATTTGTTACGATTGGATTCGGTTTCTATGTTGACAAGTAATGAATGATTATCGAAAAGACAATTTCAGTATATATATATATATATGCTGATAAGTGAATAACTCTGATTACCGACTCGAAAATGAATTAACTATGTATGTTTGCGTTTGTCTTCCATGAATGAAGACCAGTTTAAATGCCTAGTATTTATCTGTAACCTGCATTCATCCGAGGATGTTGACATCCGAACAAGAATCCTAAGCAAGCTCAAACATTGTCCTATCATGACCCTGCAGGAAGTAATTACCGAATTCCAAAGGTAAGTGAATTTGAAGCATGATACCTCGATGGTAGAGAGCGATAACCGCTTCCTACACGTCAATGCAGTCTTACAAGGTTCCAGCATGCAGAATTATCGTAATGACAGCGTTAAACCATCATTCTCATGCTGGTTATGTGTCGGTTGGCATTTCAAAATGTTTTGTCCGTTTAAAAATTATCGTTGTACTATATGTTCCAGAAAAGGGCACAAAAAAAGTCATTGCAAAACCCTAAAATGGCATCAGGCCATGAACAGCTAAAGTAACGGTAGGTCTTAAGAAAATCAGCTCCCATAACCGTAGAAAGTATGTTTCTCTCAAGACTAATGGGTATGATTCCCACATACGGTTAGGCATAGCTTCCGAGATAACAATGTTAAGCAGAAGAACGTGAGAGAAAATTGGGAGACCACAAATATGCTCGGCTCATCAATCAGCACATAGTGCATCCGGGGGAATTCTAAATATTACTGGTGAAATTCATTGTGAAATGACAGCCAAAAAGTTTACGGAGAAGGGTGTAATATTTCTGACAGACCGTCCATCACCTGACTTATTGGGGCTTGATTTGATATATAGGTTGAAGTTCACAGATAGCTCCATAAACCCGATCTGTAACAACGTCAGTACGTTTAAAGTTGAGGAGAAAAACTCACTGGAAGTATTATTAAAACGACAAAAAATAGTATTTAATGAGGGTCTTGGAGAATGTAATAAATTCAAAGTGTAACCGGATTAAGCAGTTCTTTCCGTTTGTCCAAAACTGATCAGACTGTACAAACATTCTTTAATAATGGGAATAGGGTTTTGAGGATAGTGTAGTAATTTTTAATAATTGAATTCAAAAGTCAATTAAAGCTAGCTTATCATGAAGAATCTGGAAGTACTGGACAACCTTTTTGTCCTAGTATGTGATTCTTCATCAGTGCTTATTCACAATCTCGCATATAAAACTCGAATCTGGGACTTTCGGGCTCATTGTCGATCACTGAACCTCTAAACCACTAAACCAACATTCAACGGTGGTAATATCTAACCTCAACCACCTCACGACATTGCTACGCCGTCCATCGTTGTCCGCAGTGACTAACTTCATTTACAAAAGATACGTTTGAAATTCACAGTCGTTCAGTACTTCCGGTTTTTCCATGATACTCTAGCTCTAATCAACTCATCAATTCAATCATTAAAATATTCTTTAATAAATTGATCTTCCATACAAATACTACTTATGAGTAGTCAAATATATGATTATATTTAATCAACAAACAAAAAAATAAACAAAACTGGATCGAACACAGGACCTATCAGTCTCGCGCCAGGTGCTTAACCAACTAGAAAACTGAGCTGGCCGGTATCCAACAGTGTTAATGTCTAACTTCAGCCAATCGTGGATGCTCACTGGTGAGGAGTCCCATACTAAGACGAAACGACCGTCTAGTGCTCCCAGGTTTTCCATGATGATCTAGCTTCAACTGACTCATGATTTCAATCAGTGAAAAAAACTAGACCGACTAAAACACTCTTATATCCATAGATGAAGCATAATATGATTACATTCATTTATCCGATTATAGAATATTTTCAGGTGAGACTATAATTTATTGATGAACCAATCAGGTTTACGATCACAGATCTTGAATTTTGGCACGAAGTTTACTTATCCATTTGAGTAAATAGTGTTTGGGCATTTTAGGTGATGTTAGTTCGTGACGAAAAACCCTAAATCTAATTCCTAACCTTAATCTCATAGTAATTTATAAGCCTTATTTAGTCCTAGTTATTAGTTGGACACTCTGAAGATCATTTTATCGTCATTCAACAGTCGTTCACAAATTAAAGTCTCATTGATATTCATTCAGATGCATAGAAACTGTACACCTTTTCTTCTGTTTGTTTGTAATAATAAATATTGTCTTATAAAATAACTAAATACCTAAGAGAATTGTAATCACTACTAATAAAATTATAAGTAGTATAGTAGTGGACGACCGTTTTGTTTTAGTATAAGACCTCTTAACAGTACGCACCTACGATCTCGTACGCCGAACTCAAACCTAGGAACCTTGTTCTCGTGGGTGAACGCTCAACCTTGATATAACTAAGCCAGTCATCAAAAAATGGTGTTCATGTCTAACTTCAACTAATTTACGATATTGCACCACCGTCCATCATTGTCTTCAGTGAATAACTTCATTTACAACAGATGCGGTTGAATTTCATGGTCGTCCAATGTTTCTAGCTTTTCCAATTCAACCATTAGAATATTTCGATGGGACTCCTCAACGGTGCGCATCCATGATCTCGCCCCCCACGCGATTCGAACCTCGAACCTATCAGTCACGCGCTCGACCGATTAACCATTAGACTACTAAGCCAGCTGTTATCCGACGGTTTTCATGTATAACTACAACCAATCCACAAAATAGAATTTCAATTAACTCATCATCTCAACCATTGAAATCACTATACTATGCATAAAACTCTTCTGACATTAAAAAAATTCTTTCATAAATTGATCAACAATACAAATACTACTTATGAGTAGTTAAATATATAATTATATTTAATCAATAAACAAAAGAAAAAAAACAAAACTAGATCGATTAAAACACTCTTATATCCATAGATGAAACATAATATGATTGTAATCATTTATCCCATGATAGAAAATGTTTGATGTTTGTAATGTTGCATAGAAACTGTACACCCCCTTTGTGTCTTTTATTGATTCATTCAAAAATAAACTTAGTAACCATACTCCTTCAAATTCATCTTATCTTAGTTTCATGTTGTAATAATAAATATTGTTTTATAAAATAACTAAATAATAATAATAAACCAATTACAATAATAATCATGATTAATAATATAATAAGTAGTATAGTTAACATATTTAGTAACCATGTGATTTTTTGTTCACATTTATCATTTATATATTGTTTTATATAATCTTCTAATAAAATACAATCTTTCATAGTAGATAATAATGTTTGATGGTTTATTATGGTGGAAATATTTGAATGATTAATCATTTTAGATTGGTTACTATGCCAAATTTCAGTTGAAGATGTTGTCAACAATGAGGGTGTTGTCGCTGTTGTTGTTGTTGTTGGTGGTGGTGGTGTTGGTGGTGGTGGTGATGTTGTTGTTGTTCTTCCATACGAATCAGGAATCATTGATAATTTAGATGGATCATGTTTTTTTATGGATCGTTTTGTTCGTAACTTCTTAATCATTGATTGTTTCGTAGATAATTTCATTGTAGATGATTCCATAGGATTTATCATTGTTTTACAATAATGTTTATGGGTTTTTCTATCAGCTATAATAATAAATTGTGAATAATTTGGACATGTATATATCCAATAGATTAAACAATTTGTATAATAATCATTATATAATTCTATACGTGAATCTGGTAATGTTGTTACTAAGGGATTCATAATAATCTCATCATTTCTTATACAATCTTGTAATATAAAATAATCTAATGATAAATTAGCTATAAGCATTACATCTATATAACGTAATTGTTTACCATCAATGGATATATATCTTAACCATGTAGAGAATAGATTGAAATCATCTCTATCTAAACGATAAATTGGTATAGTTAATGTTAAATATAAATCAGTAGTTGGTTGAATATAACTTTGTATAGAATGATATATACTACTACTGAATTGATTTGAAGTAATAATAAACCATTCCATATTAAAATGATTCGTTAATGTACCAATAATGATATGTAATAAACGTTTAGTAAAATGTGTAACACATTGACTCATAATTGATTGATTCCATGGATTATTTATGATCGATGAAGTCGATGTCGAATTCATTGTTGCTGTTGTCGTCGTCGTCGTCGCCGTCGTTGTCATCGTAGAAGAATTCAAACAATCTAATATAGCAATTTTTTGATGAGATACATGAAATATTATTTTAGAAATTTTTCTAATTTCTTGTTTATTTTTATTTAATCTTAAAATACATTGAAAATAACATGGTATAGTTTGATATTCAGTATTATAGTCTGTTGTTGAATTCAATGAAATTGAACGTGGATAACGTATCAATTCCATAGTATTTTCTTTATCAGAAACATGATCATTCATAGATGTATATTCATGAATAGATAGATTATTTACAGTTTCTAATACTTTCATTATATCATTGATACCATTATTCATTACATCATCATGATGATCAGGATCATTATCATGATCAGGATCAGGATCAGGATCATTATTATCATTATGATTATTGATTACATTATCAAGATTGTTGAATTCTTTTACATTTATTTCTATACTACTTATTAATATACATAACATAACGAATTGAATATAAGTAATAAAATGAATTTTCATGAAATTCATATGGAATTAAACATTTTGTAAATAAGAATGATAGTTTCCATAGTAATTTATAAATGATGTTAAACATTTTTATTTCTATGGTAAATAAATGATATGCCTATTTGAACTTAATCAAGTCAAATTCGATGACCTTGACAATTTCTAGAATTTTCACTGGATAAAATGTTACCATCCAATAGATGAATGTTTCTTTCTTTTTTTTTTTCTTTTTCTTTTTGATGATGATGATGATGCTGATGTTGATGGTGATGGTGATGATGATGATGATTCTTATTGATAGGATGATAGAAAAGCCTAGACATAGGTTAGTTGTTACTATGTACATATGTATATAGTTTGTCGGATTGTTCATGTACAAATTTTTTGGGAGGGGTGAGGGTATGGAATGCTTATACATTATGTTCTATATATATATATATGCATGTGTTGAATACATAAATACATACACATACATACCTATCTACTGATGTACATACATAAGTAGTATACATAGTTTTATCATTGTATGGTGTAAAAATTCACTTAAGGAATTTATTTGATTTGCTTTAGACAGAAATTCTAGGTAAAGTTAACTGTAATTCATCTATTTAATTTATTCAATATTTTTCAGTACTACTACTACTACTACTACTACTACTACTACTACTAGTAGTAGTAGTAGTAGTAGTAGTAGTAGTAGTAGTAGTAGTAGTAGTAGTAGTAGTAGTAGTAGTAGTAGTAGTAGTAGTAGTAGTAGTAGTAGTAGTAGTAGTAGTAGTAGTAGTAGTAGTAGTAGTAGTAGTAGTAGTAGTAGTAGTAGTAGTAGTAGTAGTAGTAGTAGTAGTAGTAGACATTTAAAGATAAACATAAAGGAAAATGCAAGATCTTCAAATACAACATGGAGAATACCAACACATTCACATTCTAGAAGATATGGAAACATTCATGTACCTGGGAAGCATCATCAATGAACAAGGAATCTCTACATTTGAAGGATATATAGAACTCAAAACAACTATCTTCAATCCAATAGCAAATTCAAAATTTTCAATACAAACATCAAGATAGTTATGTTGTACAGAGCTTTAACATGGAGAACTACTACAATCATCATCAAAAAGATACAAGTATTTATAAACAATTATCTATGCATGATACATCAATATCCGTTGACAAGATACAATCAGTAATAGCCTACTATAGAAGAAGACAAGCCAACTTCTATCTGAGTAGGAAATTTGGAAAATATATTGGAAGTGTATAGGACATAGATTGATGAAAATCATCAAATTGCATCATGAAACAAGCGTTAACTTAGAATCCAGAATGGAAACGGAAATAAAGAAGGTTAAAGAGCATACTACATGAGGAATTGAAAACATAATTGAATAGAATGAATAACAACTGAAAACAACTAGAAAGAAATGGTCAGTATAGTGTTGAATGGAAAATGCTAAATTTGATTATCACAATTGATTGATCACCACCCAGTGATCAATCAATTGTGATTACATCTCAGTCCTACAGGAGGTTAGTCACGGCTCGGATAGCTCAGTGATAACGTCTCTGACTGTGAAGCTGGGTGACACGAGATCGAACCCGCCAGGGAACACCAGTTCCCTCAAGATTACAGGTACACCTTGCTGACGAGTGCCAAGTAGCACGAAACCCAGGTCCAGGGTTTCCTGTTGACTACCTCCAACCACCATCTAATCTAAATTTGATTATTTCATTCATGTCGAGAACAAACACTAATATCTTTAAAATGTAGAAACTAATGTATTGAAACAAATGATCGTGTAGCTATTGACAAACTGATGAACGGATATTGATTTGTAGCAGACTATTACTGTAGTATATACTACTGAAGTTGATAGATATAAGTAATGTGTAACATCAATCGAAAGTGAATTACCTGACAACAGAATGTTAAGAAAATTGATGAAAAGACAAATGAGAACAAAGAAGAAGGATTAGTGTGAAAACGAAGGATTAATAAAGTCTGAGACGATTGATTGATATTATGCAAATGAAGAATTCACTGTATAGTTCTCTGATTTTACTATGATGTTCTGTAATTTTGTATTCGAATACATTTGGTTATCCACATTTGTGTTCTTGTTCACTACAACGTAAATCTAATTACTAGGAAACTCAAGAACTGCCATTTCAGTAGTTGATACACTTTTTCCCTCTGTTATTCAAAGGAACAAGTAGTCATCACTAAAGAATCCATACAATAAAGACATATACGATGGTATAAAGAGATATGATGGTAACGAAACTGGTTAACTTTTTTCTTAATATATCAGAACAGTGTCATGCAGTCTAGCGGTTCGTTTCGTGCCATAGTAACAAAACTGATTAATATCAGTCTTATGGATGATTTACAGAAGACTATAATTGACCGTTAATATATATATTGAGTGTCCAAAAGTTAAATGTTTGCAAAATGGAAATATCTTGCTTTGAGAATACTTTACTGTAACCAAATATACGGTATTGAATAAAGCGAGTATTATGGTTAACAATACTATCTTTATCAGACAGTGGTTAGAGGTAGCCGATAGAAAACTTTGGATTTAGGTTGTGTGCTATTTAGCACTCGTCAGCAAGGTCTACCTGTAATCTTGAGGGAAATGATGCTGTCTGACGAATTTGATCCCGTCTTACCTAGTTTCACATTCAGAGACGTTATCACTGGGTTATCTGAGACGGAACTGACCTCCTGTAGCACTGCCGACTATCACCAACCACCATCTTATTTCAACAGTGCACGCAATATCGAGTCACCTAGACTACTGGTGACATTGTAACTTGGTCAATAGGATTCTATCTGCACTAAAAAGGACCTGAATTACATGACGTTGATTACCACCCAGTGATCAATCAATTTTAAACTATCTTCATGATTATGAGTTTATGGAGATTGCCAAATTTTATTAAGATCACGAATCGATCTAAGTTAGACGACCAAATACAACCTAAAATTACTGAACAGCCACTCTTCAGAGTATGGGATTCCTCAGCAATTAGAATCCACGACTACTTATCAGAGAATCGGACCTAGGACCTTCATCTTCGCGCATGAATACCTAACTTCCAAACTATTGAGCTGAGATTCAGTGGTGTACAAGTATTACTTTAATCAGTCAGTGATAGTTTCCAACTACCTTCCATTACTTATAGTATATAACTTCCTCATAAACGACACGTTCGAATTTCATTGGTTACGGCTTCTCATTAGAACTCCAGAAATTTCCTCTTGAATCTAATCACTAATGAACATCTAGTGTTTATCATTATGGGGGTTGTCAACATCTTAGTAACGATACTTGTAAGATTCTAACTAAATAAACATTTTCGTAAAACCAGTTGATTTCATATCCTTTTACTATGTTAATGAGAATCCGTGACCAATGGGGTTGTGTTATGTTGTTTTTGAGACAATTACTCACAGAAGGCAATGGATGAAGATTGAAAAATATGGTAAGTTGCTTGGGATTAGACATTTACACCATTGTGTACTGTCTAAAGAGGATTAAAGATTAGTCGTTTGTGCGAGATGAAGAGGGTCCTAGTTTCGATTCACGTGAGAGGCTCAGTGAATTTTTACTGCTCGGGAGTTCTTTACTAGGAATTAACAGCCATCAAATGTTTCCATATTTTCCTTAGAGGTTTAACTAAGATGAGTTTCTGATATAATCTATGAAAATCCTACAATCTCCATAAATCCCCTTAAATTAATAATTATTTTCATTATAGAGTTGTGGAGATTGTTGAGCTTTATTTGAGACTATGAACCGATCAGTCTTAGACCATCATTTAGAATCTAGAAGCACTGGACGACCGTTTCGCCTAAGTATGGTAGTCTACAGAGGTGCTCATCTACAATCTCACACATGAAATTCGAACTCAGGGTCCTCGGTCTCTCCCGAACACTTAACTTCGGGATCATTGAGCCGGTACTGACTAGTGTTGATATCTGACTCTAGTCAGTCCACGACATTACTCAACCAATTTTATTGTCTTCAGTGGATAACTGTCTCATACTCGTCACTGCTTTCACGTGTAACTAAATTTTCTGGGTTTGAATCTCGTGTGTATTTTATTGACGTGTATTTATAAGGAATCCCACATTAGAACGAAATGGCTAGTTAATGTTTCCAGGTTCTTAATGATGATCTAAAATTGATCGGTATCAGTTTTGTTTAGAAAGTAAACATATTTATTTATTTAAACACATAATCAACGGTTAAGAGAGGCACCAAACAGGTATGCGCCACATAAATCATTCGATTTGTGTGAGGGATAGGATACTGTCTCAGTGCCCGAACCGAAGCAGGTGGTCTTCTTAGGTGGCCACACACTGAACCTTTTAACTAAATGTCTAATCCACAAGACAGTGGAGCAACATCAAGAGATGCACTCACATGGTAGCCGGTGACCAACAACACGTTCATACGCCATTTGTTTTCTTCGGGATCCTGGAGCCAATGTGCACTGTTGATTTGTAATCGGGGTTTTCCAACTCCCTTAAGTGAACTCTCTGTGTCCACTAACCCGGTTAAGGCGTTGAACATTCCCTTTTCGTTCTCTCAGCTTCATAAACAACACCTCCTTGGAGAGTAGGCAATGAGTAGGACTTCCTTGTCAGTGGTTGTATACATGTAACCGTGTAAGAGCATTTCCAGATTTTCAATGATGATCTAACATTGATCATTATCAATTTTGTTTAGAAACTAAACATATACAAATTATATTATTGACACAAATCATATATTAAGATTAATTATGTTTATTTAAGTAATATAGGTTAATAGGTTATATGACATTGACAAAATATAATTGACAATGACATGTATATACATTGTATCTAATTGAAATTTATACTAATTTTTAGATGTATTTTTCATTGAATGTCATCTTCTTATGACATCATAGTTGGACAATGAATCTATATGATTTCACTAAACACTGTAAGGATAATAAGTAGTATCCATAGTTTCATTATTCTGATTCATACTTAATAGAATTGTGTTTCACAGATTGAAATCATGAGTCAGTTGAAGCTAGACCACCATTGGAAACCTGGAAGCACTGGACGGCCGTTTCGTCCTGGTATGGGACTCCTCAGCAGTGCGCATCCACGATCCCGCACCACGCGGGGCTCGAACCCAGGACCTACTGGCTTCGCGCGAGAGCTTCTAACCACTAGACCACTGAGCCGGCATCCAACGGGGTTAATGTCTAACTTCAACCAATCCACGAAGTTGCGCCACCGTACACCATTGTCTTCAGTGAGTTGTTATCTCACAACAGACCGGTTGAACTCCACTGGTAACGGCTTCTCACTAGAACTTCAGGAGTTTTTCCTGAAGTCAGTCACTAGTGAGCAGTTGATTATTATTATTATCAGTGCTTCCAGGTTTTCAATGGTGGTCTAGCTTCAACTGACTCATGATTTCAACCTGTGAAATTTCTAAAATTCTCCATAAAACCCATTCTGATAATAAGAATTGTGTTTATTAGTAGGGGTTTTATGAAGATTTTAGTAAGTTCAATAGTTGAAATCATGAGTCCATTGAAGGTGGAACACTAGGAAATACCTGGAAACACTGGATGACCATTTCATGATTTCATAATTTCAACTATTGAAATTACTAAAATCTTCACAAAAACCCTCTTCTGATAATAACAATCATCATATACTCACTAGTGAATGACTTCAATAGGCATTTCCTAGAGTTCTAGTGAGAAGCAGTGACCAGTGGAGTTCAACCAAGTTTGTTGTGAGATATCAGCTCACTGGCACAATTTCGTGGATTGATTGAAGTTAAACATTAACACTGTT